ATAGTGATGCTTTTAAAACCCCTTGTATCTACCTCTTCCGCAAACCCAAACAACATTTGTTCATCTGAAACTATAATTTGCTTTGGTGGACTTGTCCAACGTGAAATCATATTGAAAAGTCCAACTAGTTTTGATTTTACTTATACATGTTTAAACCCTAGATCAATGAGTCCAATACACATGGTGTTTTACTGAACTATATGAAAATATTAATGAAATCAACTACCGTTGTCCAGTTCGGGTGCGAAATCAAAATATCATTCGTGAATTCGTACAAATCAAAATTGATATTGATGTGACCCAAATGATCAACCGTTGAAGAAAAACATAATCTCTACACCCAACCGTATAATGTGAAAAATCATGGAAATTGTTTGTTCAAGCTAAGACCATACGGGAGACAACACCTAAGAAAATGTTTCGTGACTTAGAAGATACTACATACATTGACAAATATTAGATAACAAGATCCACATGTGTCTTGCGATTATAAGATGATTTTTCAATTATCATTTATCTTGTATTATTTCTAATTAATTTGGGTTTGATATTAATATGGATTGTTTCAATTATACATCACTAATTTATTAACTTTTAATATTTTATATCATTAATATAAATATCTACAAAATATAAATATATATATATATATATATATATTAATTAAATATAAATATATATATATATATATATATATATATATATATATATTTATTTACTAAATATATTATTATAATATATTTATTAATTATATATAAATATTTAAATATATTAAAACATATAAATATGTATTAATTAAATATAGAAATATATAATTATATAAATATATATTTATTAAATATGAAATATATGTATTTATTAAATATACAAATATATGTATTTATTAAATATCTTATTATATAATATTTATTATTTGTATACAAATATTAAAATATATATCAAAATATATAAATATGTATTAATTAAATATATATATATATATATATATATATATATAATATTATATAACTATATATAAGATTTAATAATAAATTATGGATATATATATATATATATATATATATATATATATATAAATACATTAATATTAATATATATTATAAATATAAAAATATAAATATATATAAAAATAAGTTGACGAAAAAAATAAAAAATCAAACGCAGTTCAGAATTCGATTATCGGAACTCTGACTGCACTTCAGCCGCTAGCGTGGCACATTCCAATCAATTCGATTTCCCGTCGAATTTTTAAACATGTCTATTTGAGTAAATAAAATGAGAAGAGATTTATTGTCATAATTAATGTTTTTTTTAATATTATTTTGGAAAGAAAATCTTCATCTACTTATTTAATTATTTTATTTAAGGTTATTTTACATTATTATTTTAATAAAGAACTAATTTAACAATGATTAAAAATATTTATATAAAATTCACTACGTTCACAATTTACTTATGGACATCATAGTTTAAACAGAAGATAAGTAAATATACTTAAAAAGGTATATATATATATATATATATATATATATATATATATATATATATATATATATATATATATATATATATATATATATGTGTGTGTGTGTGTGTGTGAGAGAGAGAGAGTCAAATTGATTCAAGCTTAACTCCAATGATAAGCAAGCTTTCGTAAAATAATTCACGAAATTGAATGTATAATTAAGAAATTATATATATATATATATATATATATATATATATATATATAATATTGTTAGTAAATAAAAATTGATACCATGATCGATAAACAAGAAAGAAGAATATCGAAGATCATATAGTTGGTTGAAAAATTGATAAGAGACAGACAAAAGACACCTGGTAACCACAAGATAAAAACACATATAAATCGAGAATCAGAATCGAGAATCGAAGTAAGAATATTCGATGTCTATTGTTGAAGATAATCGAGAAATTAAAATCTAGTGTAATGTTAAGATTAAAGGGAATCAAAAGCAATTGAATTACTCGATGTCTGAAATCGAGATCGAGGGAACGGTTAACGCGCACATAGAACATGGGAAGCGGTTTCTAAACCGTGGCAGAGATCGAAGATCAAGAGAGCGGTTATCTCATGCATGGGAACGTGAAATGCAGTTTTCTAAACCGTAGAACTAAGGGACGTGCATGTTGGATCGTGGTGGCAATTTTGTTAACTGCTCTTAGGAGGTTACTTGAAAGGTGCTCTATAAATAGAGCGAAGACTTGAGAGAAAAAGGGGGACAGAGACAACAGAAGCGCAAGTGAACAGTCTACAGGAGAACGACGCATCATGAAGTTTCTAATGCTCTGGATTTCCGTTTTTATTGATTATCTTTATCGCTTTCTTTACTTTCCCTGGTCATTTACTTTCATTGCAATTTACGTTTGTCAAACTTTAAGTTTTGTCCTTTCGATTCTTTGTCATTTACTTTTATGCAAATTTTACTTTTATGCAAGTTAAGGTTATGCGTTTAAGATCCTCGTCATTTACATTTCTGCAATTTCGATTTCTTGCTATTTACATTTTCGCAATTTCGATTCCTTGCCATTTACACTTAATGCAAATTTGAGGTTTTCCGCATTTTACATTTCTCTGCAATTTGATATTCTGCACTGCGTTTCGATTCGACACTTTTACTGCTTTCTTTGCTTCGCGTTTCTTATTAAAAAATACAAAAAATAGTACTTTCGATTATTAAATTTTTTTTCTTTCGAGACCATGAGGTTTGCAATTTTCATACATATTTCGATTGAAAATCGTTTGCTAACCTAAATAAAAAGAATTTACATGGTTAAGATTTGATTAGAACTTAAGTCTTGATTTAATCGAAATTGATCAAATTTTTACCAGAAACAAATATATAATATAATTATTATCAATTAATTAAATGAAATGAACAACTTAATGCTTTCAAAATTGTAAAGAAAAAAATAACTAAGTTAAAATGATAAAAAATGGAATATTATAATTAAAAGGCATGAAACATATGTGGTAAAACTATATTAATTGGTGATAAAATGTGAAATTAAAATTAAAAGAGAGAAATATGTCTACTAATTTATAGACTAAATTTTGATTTTGGTCCTATTTTTTATTTATTTTATATATTTTTCAATTTAAACTTTAAACTAAATATATTTATCAAACATACTATAATTATATATATATATATATATATATATATATATATATATATAATTAATAAGAATGGATTGATTTGTATGACTTTCTTTATGTATATTGTTTTTTAATTATTTTTTAACTATTTAAAAAAAATATTGCTATTGATAAAAAAATTGATTTATGTAATTGTGTTTATAATTATTTTTATTTTATTGCATATTATATAATTATTATTTTTAAATTATAATTTTATCTTGAATTTTTAAAAACCGTTTTTATAATTGTTTTTTTAATATGGATATACAGCTATTTTATATAATTTAAATTGAGTTGTAATTACAAATTTTCATTGGTGAGTGTACACTGTTACCGTGCATCTCCAAGCAGTAGATCCGAGCGCGGACCGAAACGCGCAACGAAACCGTTAGTTTCAGAGCCGAAACAAAAGGAACCACCAAAACACAACACAAATCCGAGAAAGAGAAAGAGAAAGACTGAGACTTCACCAAAACGGATAGAACTCCATTTTTTATGAGAGATGAGCAGTGATGCAGTCGAAAGCGAAGGGTACTCTCTGCTGACGGATTTAAGACTCGAAATTGAAGCCAAGGATCGAACTTTCTCACTCTGCTTTTGGCTTTATTTCACGAGTTCCACTACATTCCCCGTTACCATTATTCAACAGGTCAACCATATCTCCTTCTTTTCCTTTGCGGTTTATTTATGTTCTTTCACATTGCTGTTTTTCCCTTCTTTCTGGGTTTTGCGTGTTAGTGGGGTATTAAGGTTTTTCTAAATCTTCTCGATCAACAGTTTACACCTTAGTGTTGCTTCAAATTTATAATCGTCATATCGTGGGCTTGGATAGTCTTGTTTGAGAAACTTGTAAATTCTGAAGTTGGTTCTATGCTTTCACTGCACATTAAATTTGTTTTGCGCTTGATAATTGATGGACTAGGTGAATCCGTGTGGTTCTGATGGCTCAAGTTGGTAGTTAAGTGATGTGATCATGGACAGGAAAATTCAGTTTAAAAGGATTTTTGGTAAACCTTTGGTGTTCTCGAGTTTGAAATCTTCTTTCAATTTGTAAATTTGTAGCTTCTTGTTTTGCTAATTGCGTTAATTCAAACTTAGAGCTTTGGTATAAGATTAATCCAAGTGTTGCAGAATGTTTTGTTGGTTTACTTCATACTCAAATCCTAATTAGTAAATTAGAGATTTAGAATATAGACTACACCTATTCAATTATATATGGCTATGTATGGTGCTTAGTAGTGGAGATCTTACATCGACATATAACTAAATTTTAGAGTATAAGTGAAATGCGAACTTCACATTAGAAGTCAGTTTTGTAGGTTGATTTAAACCTAAATTCCATTTTTAATATGGAATCAAAGCCCAACCTAACAATGTATATTGGGACTATCATAACACCTGATATTGGGCTTGTTATCAGACCACCCATATCCCATATCCTTGTCTTGAGGGGGGTGTTGGAGATCACCCATATCCTCGGTGTGAGCAACTTCGTTGGAAATTCCATATCAACTTGTTTTTATATGACTAAAATATAGTATATAAGTGGGGTACAAATCTCAATTGACAAGTTGTTTTGAAGGCTTGTAGGATTGAGTTAGGCTCAAATCTACTTTCTCACATCATTTGAGTAACGTCTGATTGTTTTAAAGTTGGGTAAAATTGATTTTGATAGAATTAATCCTGAACTTTTTGTTGAATGAAATTAGAACACGTTTCAATCTTAGTCATAAAGTTATTTCAAAACATGTGTCTCTTTAGTATGAGAATCGATTTTCTGTTTCAAAAACAAGTAGGTCAAGAATGGTAAAACTTCTCCAATCCATCATGTGACGCCATGCCATATCTCTTGTGCAAGGTTAAATGTTTTGATATTCGACCATACAATTTTAACTGTTTAGCATTGTGATTTGCTTAGAAATATTGGATGCAATAATTGTTTTGTTTAATATTTTCTGTTGTCTTGATACTTAAGGTTGAAATTTTTCACATGCAAGTTACTACCGGTAGTAATTATTTATATCATTGTATTACCTTTTGTGGAATAATACTTACTTTTTTTTACCGATTGAAAGGACAAATATATAAATTAATTTGCCTTGCAGGTTTATTCTGATATATCCGAAAGTGCTCCTTTTCTTGTCATTGATGATAGTAAGAGAATCCATTTGTTACCAGTTCTTCTCTTACATGAAGAAGCCCCTGATACTGGCAACATAAATTCGTGGGCTGAAGTTCCACATGCAACTGTTGATTTTAAGTTTCCTTTGGAAAAATGGGTTCATGTTGGATGTCAGGTATCTTATATGATTATTTGAGAATTACTTTTTGTAAACTCTTTTAATGTTTCCTTGTTTAAGGAACTGACCCTAATGTGTGTATTCTTCTGTATGGAATTGATTTTTTATATTTGCTTTCTGGAATTTATGAACTGGGGTAAATAATAGAACGACAAAGAAAAACAAATTCCTTTTGGTAAGACTTTGCCTTCAGTGAAATAACTTTTGTGACAACCTATGGAACACTTTTCTTGCTGCTACTAGTTGAATCTACTCCTGTCCTGTCTTTATACCTTTTAACTTTATTTGATTGGAATATGAGATGCCTATCCTCTTGGGCAGGTTTGTCCAGATTTTATCCAGCTTTGGATTAATGGAGAGATTTTAGGAGAAAAGTCTGTGTGTTCCATATCAAATGAGGAATCTGGTTCAAGTGATTTGAAGAAATTAACGCTGGCAAATGTTGGTGGAGATGGAAATAGTGTGCAGGGTTATGTGCACAATTTTCAAATATTTCCTGTTATCTCTTCTATTTCGGATTACCATTTAAAGGTGATTCCATATGATCATATTTTTGAAAGTACATGGTAGCTTCACATTTCTTTGTGCATCTTTGTTTATAAGAATCAACAAAGACTTTATTAGTTTCTTTGTTGACATTTGACAACTCTGTATCACTTGATGCCAGGACCCTCCTTTCAAGTTATCAATTGATGAATCATCTGTCTCTGAGATTGAAGAAGAAAGTGATGGTGTTTGGGGTGTTGTTGGTGGCAAGGTGAGAAAGATGTTTTATAAAAGATTCCCAAGTAATCATATTTTATGCGTTCATCTTTATTGTCATAAATCATAAAGAGAAAAGTCTAGACTAAGCGCTGCATTTTCTGTTGGTGTTTAATTTTGGATATATGTGATGTGATACAATTTATGTTTGACATTTCAAAGGTTCTTATAAACCAACCTTATATATGCAAGTTTGCAATTTCAAGTGTTAAGATCAAGTGAAACTTTTCTGGTACCATGAAAATAAATATGAACAAACACAATAGATGGAGAGGGGAAGCAGCTGCTATGCTTTTGGTATTAGCAAAAATATTATTTCTACTTCTACAAAATATGACTATTAATGCACATTTGAGAAATGCACAAATTAGTTCCAGTGTTAACTTTTCCTTTAAGTTAAAACATTAATCCCAATTCTGCATTTGCATAATTTGGCACAGGCATCTTGTCGTAGGAACTTCTCTTTGGACGTTGTTCTGTCAGATGCTTTTGGACAGCCTGTAGATAAGGAGAATGAGGTTTATAATCCTGTCTTTATTTTGGGCAAGTTAATGCTCTCTGGAAATCAGGATTTGTAATATTTACATTATTGTTGTTGATATTGTTGACTGTGGCAGGTTTTTGCTTCACTTTTGTATGCTGACACCAGAGCACCAGTGGAGAATACAACTGATGATGAAGCGCCCCTTTTAGCTAGTTATGATGGAATAGAGTTTTCTTCTTGTGAAAGACCAAGTAAACTTTTGCTGGGACGTGCTTCATTTAAGCTCAAAATATCTCAGGTAAAGATGCCAAGGATGAATGTTTGCTCATGTTATCTCCTCTAATATAATGTTTTCCTTTGGACACCTACATTCCTAAAATTGGTGAGACGAGTATTTGCTTTGCATGCATTATCACTATGAGGAGAGAGTATAAGGATACTGATTTCAAGGTTTTCAAAATTAGAAAACTACTCAAACCTTCTTTCTTAGCCTCACCAGGAATAAAGGTTGTTGGAGATAATAATTCATTAAAATCATGCACAATTGCGTGAACACACTCATGATATGTAGATATTTTATCAAAACGTTGAGGTACTGGAAAATTGGTATAATAGAGAGATGTGAGGGTGGACTTAATGGCACTGCATATTGGCTGTCAATATTCTCCCATTGGGAATGATCAGTTACGTATGTAATCAATGGTATGGTGAGCTCAAAGTAACTAAAATGAACTTGTCTTCCTTGAAAATTTAGAAAAACACTAGAGACCTTGAAGCAACTATAATATGATATAGCAAAGTATTATAATTATTCCATATCACTCTGTCCCTCATTGGTCTTTCTGGAAGTTGAACATGGTACGATGCTGATCAGAACCAAAGATGTAGTTTGATTGACATGGTTGTACTTGTATTTAACGTCAATTTCTGCGTCATTAACATATAAGCATGTTTCATTTCAACTTCATGTTGTAGTATGCTTGAATTAACTCTGCTGCCAATCTGATATTTATGCGCTTGTAATTTCAATCCAGTATTCCTTGGCACCATGTAACTATTTTCCCATTTGTCAGCTTTCATCCAAGCGTGATAACAGGTTCTTCCTCATCAGATTTTGTGTTCCAAAACTAGGAAATTATCCTTTCCTTGAGACATACTCCCGACCAATTCGATGCATCTCTAGAAGTCGTAACACAAGATTGTCCTCTCTAGTGTGGAAAAGGTCAACTGCTATTAATTGCCCTAGTGTATCTCAATCTTCAGCTTTGGATGATGGGTCTATGGAAATTCAGCATTCAGGTCATGAAGCACAAGCCAATCCAGTGATGAAGCGGTCTAGACTTGGACAAGACAAGATATCTGTATCAGTGAAGACTGACCCCACCATTGAGCAACCTGATGAAGAATGTAACTCTCATGTCCGGACTTCTAACCAGGTGACTACCTGTTTAATTTTTCAATCTTATTTGTTCCATACATGGATGGCCTACCTAGTAGGTTACTACGGACACCAGAGGATGATGTGATCACCATTGTTAAAATTAGGTTTAGCATACATGTTTGGATTTCTTAAACGAGCTATTTAATTTTCTCCATCATCCCACCTCATGTGAATACCAAAATATTGAAAACACAGACCAATTCAAACCTGCTAAGATTTAATTAATCTAAGAGAGTAAGACGCAGTGAATGTCATAGCCTTGAGCAATTGGTCTAATATTCTTTTTATATTGTATCAAGTAGTTGGCTATCTTTAAAGCTAAAATTTAAGGAAAATGCCTAGGAATGGTTTTGATTTATATCCAACATTAGATATCTTCTCTTTAAGGCCAATTTGATATTGTCAGCTTGATGATGTTCTAATCTATTCCTTCAGATTTTAATGATACTGGTGTAATCTGGACTTATTCTTTTATCTATATATGTAGTTTTTCATCAATGTGAACTTTGCTGAAGTTTCCTTAAATTATTTTCTTAATATTTTTTTCTTTAGTATGTCCTCTTTGCTCTCTTTTACTTTTAACTAGCACTGCAAACTTATTGTCATTAGGTTGAAAATGGATTTCCAACAAGCTTCGATGGAAAGCCTGCAAACTTCAGTGAAGCATATGATTCTCCATCTGATTCAGAGAGTATAGGGGAGGGAAATTCACCATTAAATAGTTTGGCAAGTAGAAGATATCCAATATCTGACATGACCATTTTCAAATACTGCCTTGCGAGTTTGGCTGAGAGATCTCTCATACTTAAGGAAATTGCTACCTCTGCTTCTGACATAGAAATTTTAGAAATGGCTAATCATGTGTCAATCTATTCAGGATGTTCGCACCATGGGTGAGTGCTTTTTTCCTTCAGCAATTATATAATTACATTGTTGAATATAGAAAAAATAGGGTTTGAAATTAATCTCCCTTGTGTATAAACAATACATAGGGTAATCTTTTTATAATAGAGAGAGGTACAACCAAAAAGAGTAACTAAAATATAATTACAGTAAATAGAAGATATTGTGATTAACAATATTTAACAGTATCAAACAATATCTAAACAATATCTAATACTCTCCCTCAAGCTAGAGTATACAAATCGTATATCCCAAGTTTGTTACAAATATAATCAATTCTAGGCCCCTATAAAGATTTTGTAAGAATATCTATTAACTGATCATTTGAGTTAACAAACTTAGTCTTGATGTTTCCAGACATAACCTTTTCTCGAATGAAATGATAGTCAATCTTAATGTGTTTGGTCCTCTCATGAAAGGCAAGATTAGAGCTAATATGAAAAAAAGTTTGATTGTCACACAAGCGTCATTTGAGTGACATCACCAAATTGTAAATCTCTAAGCAATTGCTTAAGTTAAATAAGTTCACAGGTAGCTAAGGTCATACCTCTATATTCTGCTTCTGCACTGGATGTTGCCATAACACTCTGTTTCTTATTTTTCCACAAGATCAAGTTATCACCAATGGAGACACAATACCTAGATGTGAATCTTCTATCAGAAGGAGATCCTACCCAATCAGCATCTGAGTAGCAAATAACTCTTGTATGGTTATTAGAACCATATAATAATCTTTTTCCAGGAGATCCTTTAATATACTTTAAGATACGAATGACTGCATTCCAATGATCTTCACATGAGGAATTAAGAAATTGGCTTACCACACTGATTGCAAAGGAAATGTCAGGACGAACAACTGTAAGATAATTCAATTTCCCAACCAATTTTCTATACTGTTTAGGATCGAATATAGGCTTCCCCTGATTTGGTAGAAGTTTAGTATTGGGATCCATGTGTGTATCAACAGACTTTGAACTCATCAACCCAGTTTCCTCCAAAATATCCATGACATACTTCTTCTGTGAGATATAACAATACCATCGTTGGAGTATGCCACCTCAATATCTAAGAAATATTTGAGTTTGTCAAGATCTTTGGTTTAAAAATGGTGACAGAGATGTTTCAACTGAGAGATGTCATGGATGTCATTACCTATAAGAACGATGTCATTAACATATATTATCAAGTAAACACATTCAGCACTTGAGTGTCGATAAAATACAGAATTATCTGTTTCACACCGAGTCATACCAAATTATTAAACAACATTGCTAAACTTTCCAAACCAGACCCTAGGAGATTGTTTTAGACTATATAGGGATTTGCGAAAACGACATATCATCCTAGAAGACTCTCCCTGAGCAACAAACCCAGGAGGTTGCTCCATATAGATTTCTTTTTGCAAATCACCATTGAGAAAAACATTTTTAACATCCAGTTGATAAAGAGGTCATTGTTGAAGAGCAGTCATGACGATAAATAAACAAACAGAAGTCATCTTTGCCATGGGGGAAAAGGTATCTCCATAATCTAATCCAAAAATTTGAGTATAACCTTTGGCTATAAGACGACCTTTGAGGAGATCAATAGTATCATCAGGTCCAACTCTGACAGCAAACACCTACCTGCAACCAACAACAAATTTCTCAAACGGTAACAGGACCAATTCCCCAGTTCCACTATTATGAAGAACACTTAGTTCATCTGTCATGGTCTGACGCCAACCAGGATGGGCTAAAGCTTTACGGACAATTTTTGGAATGGTCACAGAAGAAATAGAGAAAAGACATGTATAAAAAGGTAATGATAGTGGATGATAACTTAAAGTAATATAATGGGGAGAGAGATTACGTGTAGACTGGATACCTTTTCGGAGGGCAATGAAAAGGTCAGACTCAGGTGTCAGAGCAGGAGGAGATAGAGTAGTTGGCACTTGAGTGGAGTCACATGGTGGTGATTGTGATCGGTTCGGCAACTATAAACCTGAAGGGGCGATGGAGAAGAAGCTAACTGCGGAGTAGGAACTAATAGTGAAGAAGACACAGTTAAATGTACTAGGAGTGTTGACAGGATTGTATGGAGACAGAGGTGAATATTAACTTTTAAAATAATGGGAGAACTCATCAAAGGTAACATCTACAAACACAAAATAATAATTAAGAGAAGGAGAAAACATTTGTATCCTTTTTGTGATCTTGTAAACCCTAAGAAAACACTCTTATGTGATCTAGGAGAAAGCTTGTTATGACCAAGACTAAAATTATGAACAAAACATGTAGACCCAAAAACTCTTGGAGGTAAAGGATGAAGAGGTTTATGAGGGAATAAAATAGAATGAAGTATTTTATTATCTAAAATCGAAGAAGGCATGCGATTAATGAGATAACATGTAGTAAGAAGAGCATCACCCCAAAAATGTTGAGGAACCTCTCCATTAATTAAAAGAGCGCGAGTTGTTTCAAGATGTCTATTTTTACGTTCAGCTATATCATTTTGTTGAGGTGTATAAGCACAAGAAGTTTGATGCAGAATACCGAGAAGCCATGAATTGTTTAAAAGAATGAGAAAGATATTCACGATCATTATCACTGCACAAAACTCTAATCGAAACACCGAATTAAGTTAGAATTTCATTAAAAAAACGATTGAAAGATATGAAATAATTCAGAACAATTTTTCATCAAAAATAACCAAGTACATCTGGAATAATCATCAATAAAAGTAACAAAATATTGAAAACCTAAAGTAGACTTAACGCAACTAGGTCCCTAAATGTCAGAGTGAACTACGGCAAAAGGAGACGAAGCGCCACGTGTGATACTACGAGGAAAGAAAGTACGATTATCCTTGCCTAATTGACACGACTCACACCAAACTAGACAACTTGGACAAGGCAGAGGGATTACAAGGCTTGGATGACCTAACTGAGCATGAAGAAGAGAGGGAGACTTCATAACTGCACCAACATGTGTAGAGAGACGGAGATAATAAAAACCATGAGACTCACATCCTGTGTCAATCACCTATTTCGAACTCTGGTCCTGTAAAGACACAAAATTGTTGGTAAAAGAAACAACACAATCAAGAGAACAAGTTAGACGATTGATGGACAATAGGTTAAAAGGAGACCCAGAGACATAAAAAACATTATCAATCGTTAAGAAAGGGAAAATTTTAACAGTTTCAACACTATGAGATGATACTCTAGAGCTATCAGCCAGTGTAACAAAAGATAAAAAATTAGGAGAGGATAAAGAGGAGAAACAAAATTTGTTACTGGTAATATGATTAGTGGCTCCTGAATAAAAAACCCAAGGACTAGGAGAAGATTGAGTCAGGCTAGCAAAAGATGTATCTGTGTGTGCGACAAATGTAGTGGAACTAGAAGACGGTTAATCCTTATACCATTTGAGAAATTTGTTGAACATAGTAGGTATGTCGGATGAAACAGAAGGAGCGGAAAAAGTCATGAAGGGAGGTAGAACAAACCCTAAAAAATTTCAAAGTAGTCCAATCAACCTGTTGAATATAGGGAAAAACTGTATAGGGTTAATTTCCCTTATGTGTTTACCACACATAGGGCAGTGTATTTATAATAAAGAAAGGTACTCCTCAAAAGAGTAACAGAATACAAATAGGGTAAATAAAAGATATTATTTGATATTGTGATTAACAATATCTAACAATATCTCAACAATATCAAACAATATCAACTAATATCTAATCATATCTAACACTCCCCCTCAAGCTGGAGCATACAAATCGTATGTGTCTAGCTTGGTACAAAGATAATCCATCCTAGGTCCCCGTAAAGACTTAGTGAAAATATCTGCTAATTGATCACATGAGTTAACGAACTCAGTCTTGATGTCTCTAGACATAATCTTTTCCCGAATAAAATGGCAGTCAATCTCAATGTGTTTAGTCCTCTCATGAAAGACAGGATTAGAGCTTATATGGAGAGCAGCCTGATTGTCACACACTAGTGTCATTTGAGTGACATCTCCAAATTGTAGCTCTTTAAGCAATTGCTTGAGCCAAATAAGTTCACAGGTAGCCGAGGCCATAGCTCTATACTCGCTTCGCACTCGGATCTTGCCACAACACTTTGTTTCTTACTTTTCCATGAGATCAAGTTACCACCAATGGAAACACAATACCCGGATGTAGATCTTCTATCGTAGGGAGATCCCGCCCAATCAGCATCCGAATAGCAGACAACTCTTGTATGATTATGGGAGTCATACACCAAACCTTTTCCAGGAGACTTTTTGATGTACTTCAATATACGGATGACTGCATTCCAATGATCTTGACAAGGAGAATTGAGGAATTGACTCACCACACTGATCGCAAAGGAAATGTCGTGGCGAGTAATCGTAAGATAATTTAATTTTCCAACTAATCTTCTATACTGTTCGAGATCCGACATTGGCTCCCCCGATTTGGCAAGAGTTTGGTATTAGGATCCATTGGTGTGTCAACAGGCTTTGAATTCATCAACCCAGCTTCCTCCAAAATATCCAATGCATACTTTCTTTGAGATATAACAATGCCATCGGTAGATTGTGCTACTTCAATACCCAAGAAATATCCGAGTTTGCCAAGATCTTTGGTTTGAAAATGGTGGCAAAGGTGTTGTTTCATCCGAGATATGCCATGATGGTCACTACTCGTAAGAACAATGTCATCGACATACACTATCAAATAGATACATCCAAGCATTCGAGTGACTGGTAAAAGACCGAGTGGTCTCGCCTCACTTCTAGTCATGCCAAATTGTTGAACAACGCCGCTAAATTTTCCAAACCAGGCCCTAGGAGACTCGTTTTAGGCCATATAAAGATTTGCGAAGACGACATACCAATCCGGAAGACTCCCCCGAGCAACAAATCCGGAGGTTGCTCCATATAAATCTCTTCTTGCAAATCGCCATTCAAGAAAGCATTTTTGACATCCAGTTGATAAAGAGGCCATTGTTGAGTAGCGACCATGGCAATGAATAAACGAACGAAGCCATCTTTGCCACTCGGAGAGAAAGTATCACCATAATCCAACCCAAAAATTTGGGTATAGCCTTTGGCTACAAGGCGAGCTTTGAGGCGATCAATAGTACCATCGGGACCAACCTTGATAGCGAAGACCCACCGCAACCAACAACGATTTTCCGGATGGTAATGGGACAAGCGTCCAGGTTCCACTAGTCCGAAGAGCACCGAGTTCATCTAGCATGGCCCGACGCCAACCAGGGTGGGCTAAGGCTTCGAGACGCATTTAGGAATAGACACGAAGAAATAGACGAGAGACAGGTATAAAATGGTGAAGAAATTCGATGATAACTTAAAGCAAGTATAATGTGGAGAAGGATTACGAGTAGAACGCGTACCTTTACGAAGGGCAATAGGAAGGTCGGACTCGTGGACGGAACCGGAGGAGGCGAGTATTTGGCACCGTGAGTGAGTCATGTGGCGTCTGTTGTGGGCGAGGTCTGCGACTATAAACCTGAAGGGGTGGTGGAGGAGGAGGGGCTAATGGTGGATGGTCCTCAACATAAGGATCAATGAGAACAGGAATGGGAACCGTAGCGAGATGGAGACTCGGCAAGTAGGGAAGGGTCCTTAAAGTAAAAGGAAAACTCATTGAAGGTGACATCGGCAGACACAAAATAGCGATTAAGAGAAGGAGAAAAACACTTGTATCCTTTTTGGGATCCAAGTAAATCCTAAGAAAACACATTTGTGTGATCGAGGAGATAACTTATCATGACCAGGATCAAAATTGTGGACAAAGCAGGTAGTCCCAAAAACCTTCGGAGGTAAAGGATGGAGATTGTCATGAGGAAATAAAATAGAATGGGGAATTTTGTTATCTAAAACCGAAGAGGGCATACGATTAATAAGATAACGAGCAGTAAGAACAAGCATCACCCCAAAAATGTTGAGGAACCGCACCATGAATTAAAAGAGTACGGGTTGTTTCAATAAGGTGTCTATTCTTGCGCTCGACCACCCCATTTTGTTGAGGGGTATAAGTACAGGAAGTTTGATGAAGAATGCCATGAGAAGCCATAAATTGTTTAAACGAGTTTGAAAGATATTCACGGCCATTATCACTTCGAAAAGTTTGAATAGAGACACCAAATTGATTTTTAATTTCATGATAAAAGTTTTGGAATATAGAAAACAACTCGAACGATTTTTCATTAAAAATAACCAAGTACAACGAGAGAAATCATCAATAAAAGTAACAAAATATTGAAAACCTAAATTAGACTTAATACGACCGGGTCCCCAAATGTCGAGTGAACTAAGGCAAAGGGGGATGAAGCACGCTGGGAAACACTACGAGAAAAGGAAGTACGACTATGTTTGCCTAACCGACAGGACTCACATACCAAACTCGGACAACTGGGATAAGCTGGGAACAAGTTGTCGTAATTTGCGCAGACCGGGGTGACCAAGCCGAGCATGAAGGAGAGAAGGAGACTCCATAACCGTGCCAACATGTGGAGAAGGTTGAAGATAATAAAGTCCATGTGACTCACATCCGGTGCCAATCATTCTTTGCGAGCTCCGGTCCCGTAAGGAAACAGAAGTTTTGGTAAAAGAGATAACACAATCAAGAGATCGAGTTAGACGGCTAATGGATAATAAGTTAAAGGGGGACCCGGTACATACAAAACATTATCAATGGACAACGAGGGAAAAAGAGTAACCGTTCCAACACCATGAGCTAAAGTTGTAGACCCATTAGCCATTGTAACGGAGGGTAAATTATGAGAAGAAGTGAAAGAGGAAAATAAGGATTTGTTACCGAGTGATGTGATCGGTGGCGCTCGAGTCAAGAACCCAAGAGCCAATAGAAGAAGAGTGAGTCGGACCAAGCAAAAGATGTACCTGTGTGGGCAATGTAGTAGTGGAACCGGAGGGCTTTCGATCCTCATACCATTGAAGAAAATCATTGAAGATAGCAGATTTGTCCGAAGGTACGAGATGAAGGAGGATCCACGATAGAGGATTGTGCGGAAGAATCGGTCCGAGCAACTGCAGCAGATCGGCGAGGATAATCATGTAAAGCATAACATTTGTCAATTTTGTGGCCTAGTTTGCCACAATGGTCACACTTGACACGCCCTTTGCCCGGCTTGTGAGAGCGATTACGATCATCACGGTGAGAGGCCAAGGCGAGATGAATCATTAGAAACTACAGGGGGAATATTGAGAGGTTTACATGGCACCCGCAAAGGGAGGAACTGGTAGCGGTAAACTCGGGTGTAACAGGGGAACCCAAAATCGATCACGAACGAGGGGCATATTTATCGGCAAGTCCGTGTAACATCAAAACCATGAAAAACTTTGATCGTTGCTCTAATTCTTGGGCGGGAGTTGAGGCGGGGGTAATAACTCATTAAATTCATGGAGAAGAGCATGGATCTTACCCACATAATCCGCCACAGGATCCTTATCTCGAGGAGCAATAACATCAAGAAGATTGTAACAAATACCATAAAGACGTTGAGTGTCATTGGTGTATAATAATTTGGCTTGTTCCCAAACGTCATAACATGTGCCATACGATCGAAAAATTTGTTTTAAAGAAGATTGGATGGTATTCTTGAGAACCATACATATATGAGCATCAACTTTCTTCCAACGGACACGATCATTGGAAGGAACATCATCTACCTTGGAAGTAAGATGATCAACATACCCCGACTCTCAAGCCAAAGTCTAATATCGGATGCCCAAGTTGCATAATTCGTACCATCTAATTTATCAATGGGTAAATTCACATTGACATAATTAGTAAAAACAGATTGCTCGGACCCACCGGAGTCGACGGAGGTAACTTCGTAATTGGAAGTGGCAGCGGAAGATGCCATGGAGAAAGAGAGAGAAAAACCCTAAAACACCAAAGAGGTCCGATTGGAGCAGCGAGGACAGATCCAGAGAGAGGAGAAGGAGGCGACGCCGGCGCAAAGAGCGGCGGCCTGAACGGCGGCGAGACGCGCCGCCACGCGCGGCAGAACGGAAGAAGGAGGCGCGGCTTCGGGAGGCGCGTGAGGGAGCGTGGCTGCTCCGATGACCGCGAAACTTCCACGGTGGAGGTCGCACGGAGGAGGCGAGCAAAACCCTGTGCTCGGCGGTCCGAACTGCTACTCCGGCGACGGCGACGGCGGCGGCGGAGGCGGTGACAGCTGCAGGTTCAGTGGCAGAGCCGAAAAAAATCCCAAGAGACCTTAAGCTCTTGATACCATGTTGAATATAGGGAAAAACTGTATAGGGTTAATTTCCCTTATGTGTTTACCACACATAGGGCAGTGTATTTATAATAAAGAAAGGTACTCCTCAAAAGAGTAACAGAATACAAATAGGGTAAATAAAAGATATTATTTGATATTGTGATTAACAATATCTCAACAATATCAAACAATATCAACTAATATCTAATCATATCTAACACAACCCATGAAGCACCTTTCCGAGACAAGCAAAACTGTATGTCGCTGGTCAAAAATGAAACTCCGGTGACGGCTCCGGCAAAGGCTCTGGCAGCAGCGGCGGTGGTGGCATTGGACAAAGGCGAAAAAATTTCAAAATAACCTTAAGCTCTAGATACCATGTTGAATATAGAGAAAATAGGGTTTGAGATTAATCTCCCTTGTGTATAAACCATACATAATTTATAGTAGAGAGAGGTATAACTAAAAAGAGTAACTAAAAAGATAATTAGAGTAATTAAAAGATATTGTTTGATATTATGATTAACAATATCTAACATTGTCAAACAATATCTAACATGTATTAATGCCCCCCATTAAGGATGGTAAATGGCTGTAGTTGATTGTAAAAAGAAAAAACTGTAAGAAGCTATGATATATATGGATAATTATTTTTCAAATTTATTCCTTTATAAATTCTTGGCTTAAGCTGTTTTGTTCATGTCAGTTTCAGACATAATACTCTCATCTAGTGTTTATCTTTTCATGTTCGACTACTGGTACTGCATATGATAACGGTCAACAACCAACTATTTTAAGGCTAAGTTGTTAGGTGAATGTTTATGAATTACTTTAAATATGAGTGGGGTAACTCTTTGAATGAGTTAGTTTTTGGGATTGAGTTAGGGTTAAACCAAAAGTCCAAGACTTCCTACCATACAACCCCTGGCAAATGCCCTTTTGGGTTTAATGTAGACAGTGCAAAGACCCACTTTTGCTATGTGCTGAAGTACGAGTTGGAGAGGGTTAGAGACGGCAAGGATCAAACTTTTCTTCAGGACTTAATTAGAATCTGTTTAAATACCATGTCAATGATCAACTATTCTAAGAGCTTCAACAGGCGAAGGCTCATGAATGGCTTTGCTACATTCCCAAACAATAGTTATAAATCTATAGCAACTTGACATCTGGAACTACCGCTTGGTTTCAGTTGGTTAAAAGTTTTACCACAATAAACTCTACATGGGAGTTCACTGTTCTGGCAAATACCTTTTATTCTTGTTCCCTTGTATCCTAGTTATTTGGTTCTCAGAACAATATATATATATATATATATATATATATATATATATATATATATATATATATATATATATATATATATATATATATATATATATATATTTTTTTTTTTTTTTTTTTTTCTAAATGTTTTTATTAGTATAATTAATTATGTTTACTGCAATCATCTAGCATGTTTCCTCCCTTTTAACTACTGGCTTTGTTTCTATATCAGAAACCAAATATTAATTGCCAAGAGATTGATAGAGGACGGAACTAATCTTTGGAAGTTGATGTCTCCAAACAATCAACACATTCATTGGGACAATGCAGTGTACGAGATTCAAGAGCAATTCATGAAGATTGCTTCTAGCGGTTCAAGATCTCTCTCACCTCAGGTTTATATCTTTTACTTCTTGAAGGAAGGTTACTGTTGTGTTTTATGTAAGTTACTAAACATCTAAATATTTATCAATTGGGTTCATGAGAGATACATTGTTCGTAGATCATGTGGACATCTGGAGAGTTGTGTGATTACCAATAAACAAAGGCACTTATACATTGGCTTCTGGCGACTAAGAGCCTAAAATGTCTTAAATATTGTGAGTCTCATGCATTAAGGCATTATGATTTATTGGCAAAATATTTTGCCTTGATGAGCTTAAATTCATGTGGTAAAGCTTGACCTTTCTTTTCAGGACAACGTACCACCATTAAGCCTATTATTCTTACCATTATTAGAAATATAAACAAATAATAGTAATCAGAAAGAAAAACATACAATATTTAGTGGTCTTTGAGTTTTTGAAAGTATCACAATAGAAACATGGCTCGCAAAATTTCATAGTTTTTCCATTTTATTGTAGGATCTAAATCTTTTGAGAAGGATCGCTGGATGTCAAGAGTACCTAACACAAGCGAACTTCGAGAAGTTGTGGTGTTGGTTGTACCCTGTGGCAATTATAATATCAAGGGACTGGATAAATCCTGTCTGGAATTCCGCATCACCTAAGTGGATAGAAGGGTTCATAACTAAGGAGGAGGCAGAAGCTTCACTACAAGGTCCCACCGGATTTCAAGCACCAGGTACCTTTATACTCAGATTTCCTACCTCGAGAAGCTGGCCACACCCAGATGCTGGTAGCCTAGTTGTAACCTATGTTGGCAATGACTACAAACTGCACCACAGGCTACTTTCTTTGCATCATGTTTATGGGTAAGTTTTATTTCTTGTTCATAGAATAGATTGCTGAATGTCAACCTTGTTTATGGGCAAATTTTAACCACATGGTCATACCATGTCTTGTATCAAATCTCTAAAAAGTTTAAAGGTATTGGTGAGAAGGCTAATTAATGGTTTTTTATCTCTCCAACATAACTAACTGCTCATGCAATGAATAAACTAATTCAATCCTTCGTTTAGTGCTTGTCCAGGTGAGCATATCTAATTGGAATGCATCTCATTGTAGTCTTCTTGGCCTAACTGTTGTTAATGAAAATTAACACGCCCTTATGTAAACATAACAGCCTATGTAAATAGTCACAAACACACTTGTAATATATGTTATCCTTTACTAAAACAACAATCACATTTCTTCTAATTCTTATAGCTCTGGTGATGAAAGAGTTGACATGAAACCGCTTCAAGATATGCTATTGGCAGAACCTGAGCTGTCTCGATTGGGAAGGTATTATATAAAGCAATGTCTGATTGTTTCTTTTACACTGAGTGCTTAACATAGCTCAATATTTATTGTATTTGTTTCATCGGTAACTGTTCAGGATAATAAGAAGTCATTAGGCAAACTATAACTGCTGCAGAATATGCCTCAATATCCCAGTTAAAGTTGCTTTCAAGGTTCTCTTTGCTAAAAGTAGATGGGACTGGTGGCGCCTGTGAACTATGATGGTGTATTTACAGTTTACTTGTATATTATGAAAAATAAGATTTTAGGCGTATTATTTTAAACATTAGTAGCTGATGATCTTTATATAAAAGATATCCCCATTCATTTGTAACCAATAATACCATTCTAAGCATCGCTCTTAGCTCCTTCAGTCCGAAAGGTAATACCTTCCATTGATATGAACATTGCATTCCTACCTTCATTGATATGAACATTGGGAATGCAGAAGATAGTTTTGCATCAAAATTCATACCTATACCTATTTGGTTTTGACCCTTGTTGCCAATAATATGCAGAAATAATGTGTCCTAGAGAGGGTACGACCCTTTGGAACTATGCTTTATATATTACTGGGATTAATTAATAAGAACCAAAAAATTATAACAAAATAAACTTATAAGGACCAGAACTTGTAAAAGTAAAGCGAATAAGCCAAAATTTAAGTTTAGGGAGTAAAATCATAACTGAGCTTTTAAATATAGGGATTAAAAATTTATCTTAACATTATTATTATTAATAGTATAACTGCCACAGAATCTAGAAATTAAGCAATAACTAAAGATTGTGATTTCATTTTATTTTCTATTTAATCATATACCAAAATAAGTTTTTCCGTAGTTACTTATATGATAGAAAAAAATGAAGAAAAAAAATTAAATGAACTTTTATATAATATAAAATTAGCTTATTTGTGCAGTCCACTGTGGATTAAATTAAATGGGAAAATTAAAAAAAAATTATGTAGTCTACTATGGATTAAATGATGTTTGTTTCATGACATACGGAGAAGATTGGGAAAGGTTGTTTAGCAGAAATTTTTTTTTAGATTAAATTTATTCAATTTTGAAAATGAAGAGACTTAATTAAATTTACAAAATAGTAAAGAACCATAACTACAGACACCCTAAACTAAAATTACTAAAAGCCTAATGCATTCTCAAGTTTTATTTGGATAAATGTGTTTATAAATGCTTATAAGAGAAAGAAGAAGTAAAAAAACATTTTATAAGCTAAAATGAATTTATATATAAAGTTTGAATAAAGTTAATAAGAGAAAATTTATGAAAATAAAGTTATAAATAAATTAGTTTTAATTTTTAAATAAAATATTTTATTTATTTTTTATTATTCTAATGAAAATTTTATTCAAAATTACTATAACCTAAATTTCATAGCCTCTTTACTTTCCAAATTGGGAGGCCTAAAATTACATTCATAAATTGAGTTGGGTAGTTGAAGAAGGATGAAATAATTGTTAGTTAATTATAATAAAAGCTAATCACACTGTCATTGGAGTTGTTCACAATCATGTGCACATCCTAAATAGAGTGTCCCCATCTCTCAATATTCTATCTGTATTTTTCATCCTTGTGTTAAATGTAACCATTCTTATCTATGATTTAGTGACAATAATCTTGATTCTTTTATATTAAGGTTTTGAGTTTAAATATTATGGAGCCTACTTACTTAGGAGGAAATATACCATAACAAAATTAAAATAAATTCAATTTGATTGGCAGTTTTAAAAAGTCAAGTTAAATCAGTCTAATTATTGTCTAAATTAAAGCAATTTTTTTTTGGATTGTCTTATTTGTGGTTCAAATAAACTTGAATTGATATATAAATTTATGATAAACTTGTTTATAAAATAATACTTATATTAACGATAACATAATTTTATTAACATAAATTAAATTTTAAAAATATTTTTTTATTTTTTAAAAGGAGTTAAAATGATTTGTTAGTTTAATATAAAATTAATGATTTAAAAAACACGATCCACTTAAAGTTCAGTTCATATCCAGACAAACATATGATTTTTCAATTGATCTGAGATAAACAAAATTCTTTTAACACCTGTAACTATAAATAATCAGACGAGTTTATATTTATTTTTGATAAAATCAATCATCAATAAATTTATTGGATAATTGGTAGATTGATTAAAACATATTAATCATTGTGCATACTTTGACAATTGGCATCATAATAAGGTAGGTCCCCTTACACTATTGCACCCACGTACCCTTTCTTTATAAAGGTACCATCTTTCTCATCTACAAAACAAACCACAACAAAGCTTACTAGCTAGGCAACATCAACATGCTTAAAGTACCCACATTTTTTTACTTTATGCTCTTATGTCTCACAACAGGTATGTCTAAATTTTTTCCCTAATCTCTTGTTTTAGTTGAGAAATTGCAAAATATATATATATATATATATATAACAACAATAAGAACAAAAATGGTAGGTAAACTTAGAAAAAAAATCTCAAAATGTACCTCTGATGCAGTCTTAATTTTTATCTACACTGTTCGACTCAAGCCTAGGAGTGGAAGAACTTTCAAAATCCTCAAAATAGAACTTATGTTGAAAATTTTGTTGTTGATGATGGTAAGTAGAAGTCATTTGCATTGGTTTTGGTTAGTGAAGAAATTAATTGGTGGGTGGGTTTGTTATCATTTTCTTGCTTGATATTTTACCATATAAGTTTATATAGGTAATTTTTTTCATAATCACATATAATAAAGAAAAAATTACAAACAAAAAAAAAGATATTTGAATCTTATCATGGATATGTGCTCAAACCATTTCTATTTCATTTAACAAATGCAGGAAGCTATCTCTTTATGGCTAATGAAGAGGTAATTATCTAACTATAGAATTGTTTTGACAAATTTCTCTACAAATACTTTAAAGAGAGAAGAAAAAAAATGAAATTCTGTTTTAAATGAAAATTACAGTTAATTTGTAAAACCTCTTTTACAATATATTCCTTTTGCTTTTCTCTCTTGGAAGTGTTTGAGGAGAAGTCTGTTTAGCAAGACTCATAATGAAATTCTGCATGACTTTAATAGGAAATTTGATGAGTCTTTTGAGCTGATGTTGGAATAATTATTGAATGAAATGGCAGAAAACTTGGTGTGTAGCTAAGCCTTCATCAGATGAGGTTACCCTAATGGCTAACATCAATTATGCATGCTCCCAAGTTGATTGCCGGATCCTGCAGAGTGGCAGCCCTTGCTTTGCCCCTAACAATCTCTTCAATCATGCCTCCATAGCAATGAATCTCTATTACCATTCTAAGGGGAAAAACCACTGGAATTGCAATTTCAGAGGCTCTTCCCTTATTGTGATAACTGATCCTAGTAAGTCATATTTTGACAACAAATAACAAGAGAAATGTTTGGATGAGATTTTCTATAAGCTCTCTTGAAAGAAAATATTAAAATTAATTTATGTAAAAGTTACCAATTTATTTATGAATAAACTCATAAGATAACTGTTAAATATTAATTTATGAATTTTGTTTCTTTTGTATAAACAGTTCGGGAGAAGTTTTCCGTGATATTATGAGTTTCTGCTAATGGATCTTTTTGCAGGTTATGGTAGCTGCACTTACCCATAATATCACATCGAATTAGGAGTGGTTGAGGTGCTTTCAGACAATATTTAGGTGTGCATTTGGTTCCTATGGTTATGGACATCTCTTAATGACGGTTGTTGTTATTCACAACTTGTGACCATGTACAATGCTAAATAAACTCCAATCAAATTTTGTCCTTGCAAATTTATTTTCTAGTTTCTTCATTATATATATATATATATATATATATATATATCAGGGTCGTAGGAAACGCCTACGAATGTTATATGCGAGATGTAAGAATTAAATAATCTCAACCCTCTCCTTTTGTTTATCATAAATACATGGTTGCATAAAACCAACGGTTCAAACGATCAACATGTCATTAACCACTGTACACAATATTAAGGCTTTAAGCTACGTAATGTTGCAATCAACAGATAAATATGCCTTTCAAATTTATTGAGAAGCAGGAAATTTTGGGAGGTCAGAAATTTTAACCTGCCAACTGAATCCAACTAATACCAGGTTGCTTAGTAGCACTCCCTTCTACCATTTTGTTTCTCAAGTCTATGCAATTTTTCCACATTGATGCTGATGCGTAAATGTTAGACAATAGAACATAAGTTGAGGGTTCATTCAGTTCTAGATCAGCAAGGATGTTTGCTATTCTTTCTCCTATTACAGCATTCTCATGTTTAGAGCAAGCACCTAGGAAAGTCTTCCATAAAAGAGATTTTGACTGAAATGGAGCTTCCTTTATCACAGCCTCTGCTTCTTCCAATTTTGCTGCTCGACCAAGAAGATCAACCATGCAGGCATAATGATATATAGTTAATTCGCTGTTGTATTTACTTCTCATGTACCTAAAATATTCGCAACCTTCCTCCACTAGTCCAGCATGACTACAAGCAGCTAACACCCCAGTGAAGGTGACACCATCAGGTTCCAACCCAGCTTCTTTAGCTTTGTTAAACAGGTCAATAGCTTCTCTACCAAACCCATGATAAGCATAACCATATATCATGGCCGTCCAGATTACTAAATTATGGTCAATGATAGTATTGAAAAACTTGCAGGCATCCTTAATGTTTCCACATTTACTATACATGTCTGTAATGGAAGAAGCCACATGATGATCAACCTCAAGGCCAACTTTGATAACCCAGGAATGGAAACATTTGCCTATGTCCAATGCTGCTAAGCCGGAAGCAGCTGAAATACAGCTGGATAAGATAGACTCATCTACCTGAAAAATGGGAACAGTTTGGAATTCTGCAAAATGCTTAAGTGCTTCTGCATGATAACCATTTTGAACCCATGCAGTTAACATGACACTCCAAGAGATAAGATCTTTCTCCTTCATGGACAAGAACACCTGTAAAGCACTCAAAGTTTCATGTTTAAAAACTGCATACATGTTAATCAGGGCACTTCCTACAAACGGATTATAATCAAATCCTACTTTGACTATATAAGATTGAGCTTGTTTTCCTACATGTAGTGCCTTTATTTCTGTACAAGCTTGAATAACACTAATAAATGTGAACTGACTGGGTTTTGAATATAGAAGCATATCGCGGAAGATCCTCAGGGCTTCTACGAAGTGCCCTGATTCACCACATCCAGATATGATAGTAGTCCAGGAAAACTCATTTCGTATTGGCATGTTTTGGAAAATCAATTCTGCATCCTCAATAGCTCTACATCTAATATACATCTCAAGGAGAGCATTTTCTAAGCCCAATCTACAGTCACCTTCAAAAGGATTTTTAATCAATAAAGAATGAAAAGACCGTCCTTCTTTAAGCATAAAAAGGTTTCCACAAGCCCGCAGAACATAACTGATTGAAGAACTACTTTGTGCAATACCCACTTCCCTCATACCACAAAAGAGCTCTATAGCTTTCATATCATTTGAGTTGAAAAGTAAAGCGTTAATCATGGCATTTAAACATACTTCATTTTTATTGAAAACGTCAAGAAAACATCTATAAGCATCAGATATCATCCCAAAATTTCCATACATGTTGATAAATGCACTGCCAAGATATGAATCCATCATGAAGCCAAGTTTGATGACACCACAGTGAATTTGACTACCAGAAATCTCTGTCTCCAAATTTGAGCACAAACTGACCACGCTTGCGCTGGTAAATGGGTCTGGTTTATTACCTCCGGAAAGAAAATCAACATATAATGAAAGTCCTTCCTTAGATTTTCCAATTTGATTAAATCCAGCAAGTAAAGCACATACTGCCACGTTATCCTTTTCATGAAGAACTTGAAAAATTTTACGAGCATCATCTAATAATTGCAGTTTAACATAGCAGTCAATAAGAGCCCCTCCCACGACAACATCATTTTCAATCCCAATCTTCACAATCTGGCCATGAAGAGACGTTCCAAGTTCAACATCCAACACATCAGCACAAAGTTTAACAATGATTGTGTAAGTAAAGTGGTTCCGCGTCACAGAAGAGTGACCCATCTCATGAAACAACTTCAGAGAACCCTCCACATCAGACACGTCCACATAAGCATTCAGCAAAGTATTCCACAATGCCTCGCTCCTTTCACCATAACAAACCCCATAAAAAACCTTCCTCGAATTCTTAATATCTCCACAATCAGCATACATGTGAAGAATCAAAGCACAGCAAAACCTATGCGAATCAAAGCCACTTTTGGTTACCAATCCATGAATGAGCTTTCCCATCACAGGATCGCGCATCTCCTTGCAAGCCTTGAGTGCCACAGAGTAACCAAATTCGTTGGGGCGCACCCCGGACCGACACAAGCCACGAAACAAGCTCAGACCCATTTCATGTCGCCCCACGTGAACATAACAAGAGACCAAGCTGGTCCAAGAAACCAAACTCGGCTGAGGAATTTCGTCAAACAACTTATGTGCATTCTGAACTTCTCCAATATCTCCATAAAATCTAATCATATTATTTTGTACAAAGACATCCATAAAGAGGGAACTTTTAACTAAAAGAGAGTGAAGTATTCTGCCACAGTTAACGTCTTTGTGGCCCCTCAAATGCTGCAAGAGGAAGACGCAGTCTTGGAAGCAAAATCCTCTATCGTTCTGAAATCCTAGTGATGCTTCCGAATGGAATTGTTGTGTTCTTGTCAACATTGGTGCGTTGTTCCAATTTGAGAATTGGGTTCTGTAGAACAACAAAAAAAGCCTGGTGGGGAAATGTTTGATTTGAGTAGAATTAGTGGTGAAAAAATTGGAGATAACCATTTTTAAGAATGGGTTTTGGATTGGACTGATCGGCTATCTTTCCAATTTCACATTTTCTTTATGCTTTATACAACAAGTTTTGATTTTGCCACTGACTCATCTGTGATGTGAAAGCATGATGACAAGGTGGTGGACAAAATTCCTTCCATTCCACGTCTTAAACAAATTCTTCCAAAAGGGAAAGTTGGAATATTTTTTCGTGAAAAAATTCTGCAACTGGGAAGACGTTTGAATATTGGGTTGCCAGGAGTTCCCATTCTAGTTATGAAAAATGGCGCGTGGCAATTATTTTTGACAATGTTCTAGTTTTTTTTTAAGAACGAAATTTCTTCTTCTTCCTTGTTTGGATAAACAAATTTATTTGAGAAATTGATCATTTAAACTTAAAAGAATTTTAAAACTTTCACAATATTAAAATTTAAAATTTTCAGTGATGTTTATAACATGTAATTATAGTATTCAAAACTGAAGTTGGTGTAAATATCATTCATATGATACTCAGAGGGGATGGCAATCATAATGCGTTTGAGTGCACACTTGTTTGAGTGTACTACATGCCCATTTCAAAACCCACACCAATTCATAATGAAAAGTTTTCAAGTGTTTAATTACCTCTGAACAATGTAGCTGTGATGAACCTAAAAGCAAGTCAATCAGAAAACAGTGTTGTAACTAAGTGTGAAACATTTTATTCATCCATTCAAGATGTCCCGACACCTCAGTCTGCACTCCAAAGATTGCTTTCATGTTGAAAGCTTATTTGTCTGGTATATATTGTCACATGGTTTTAAGTCCATCTTCAATGTCAAACAAGAACCATATCTCATTCACCCTATTATCATATTCAAAAGGGGCATTGTACTGTGCAACAGTGTAAACAGAAGCATGACCAGCTCCCTTGCTCTTCTCAACTGCAGCAGCCCACTTGGTTCCAGCAATGCTAGCCTTCAAGGCTGCAGCTTCTTCCCCAACATTAGAATCTTTGACAAATCCACCAAACTGTCTAACTGCTACATACACAGACTTCCATCTTTGAACCTGAAGGTCCTTTGCAGTAGGCGGGTTTGCTTGGTTCTCTTTCGGCACATAGAAGCTCACAACAAATGAGGACTCACAGAAAGGTCCATCACTTGGTAATACTTCAGTGATCACAGGTGCTGTCATCTCAATTTTCTGCTTGTAGTTGTTCTTACCCTGTATATAATCAAATAGCCTGACCAAAACAGAAAGGTTACTCAAATTTAATTACCTCCTTGGATGGGACTATGCGCTGCCATAAGCACTTATAAAAACCTTTTTCATTATATGATCAAATTCATGAATTTAAATTGTGATCTGCAATAATAGTCGTGGCTGCAAATTTGCAATTTTAAAGTCTCTGATGCAAATACAGTCAGTTATATACAATTTTCCTGCAGTCTTATCTTTTTTTTTTTTTTTTTTTGTAATTACTGTAATTAGGACTTTTGCTTCCTTGTAGGAATTTAAGATATCCCCAAAACATTACTTCTTTAGGTTGCCTCGGTTGAAGTCTTAGTCATAAACCATGAATTAGTTTAGATATTCAATCAAATATGCAATAAATAAGTTTCAATAAATCTACAGTATAACTATATTAACATAACAACTAATGAATTAGATTTAATGTATTCAATAAAATATTGCGAATACTGAGATTCTCCATGAGTCAATTTGTAGAAGTTTCCTCATATTGCTTCTCTATATTTTTAATAATGTTAATTGTGGGAAAAAAACATTTTTTTTCTTTTTTTTCTCTTATAAATACATATGTAAGAGTTTGACCAAACCGTGCTCTAAATATAAATCTTAAGCAAAATTATATTAACATAATAAATTCATATTTAAGGCATCCTAATATTTTAACTGAAATTATAAAAAAATATATAAAAGACTCACTGTGGTCACATCACAGTTAGAAAATACAGTATTAATTTTACCATGTAAATTGGGTTTCATCTTAGAAGATAAAAAATAAGTAATAACAGTTTTTCTTTTTTGAAGGAAAGCATAAGTAATAACACTACCCAAACACACTAATAAACAAAAAGCATAACCCACATGACAAATAAATGAGATGTGCTTCCTATTTTTCAATAGAAAATGAACAAAACAAAACTCAGATCATCATCGTACGACTCAATACACGTATGTATTCATCAACTCTTGCGGATAAAAAAAAAGATTTGCTTAATGAAGATAGATAAAATTACCTCCTGAAGCCCGTTCTTGTGGCTTCAACAAGAGAAATGTCTTGAATGGGGGTGTTGGAAATCCAAACGGGTGAATTATAGCGACGAATTTCATAGCCATTTCCACTTTGTATGAGATCATAGCTGGGGCACTCTATGCGCTCGCATGATGGGGGAACTGCCCCGACATTCCGAAGGGAATCTGACCTCACAGCGAGCAATGACACTGAGAGGAGACTCAAAAGCAGAGAGACCTTGCTTCCGATGGTAGCAGCCATGGCGCTAGTCGCAGAACGCTAATCAGCAAAAGATAAAATGTGAAATTCTATGGCTATTATAAACCCCCTCTCACCCACCCTTACGTATAAGCCACACAAAATTTATTTTTATTTTTATAATTTTAGTGTCTAAATTTTAAAAGATTGTGATTTGAGTTACATTTTTTTATTCTTCTCACATTTTTGTTTTCATATATTTAAAAATAATAATTATATTAATATTATTGATTTTATAAAATCTGAAAACTAAAATTTAATGAATTTATTTTTTCTTGTCCCTATCCAAATAAATATTTAGGTGAATTGAATTCTTTCTTTAATAGATTTTAATTTTTCTGAATTGTTTACTTTATAAGTCAAATTATTATTAAATAAATTTATGAACCCATTGACATACATGTTTCAATTCCAACAATATCTGCAGGGATTTTAGATATACCTTTACATTTATTTATTTATATATATATATATATATATATATATATATTTTTTTTTTCTTTCTTTCTTTCTTATTATCATGTTATCATTTCCAATTCATAACTTTCGCATCCTTCCAACATCTAATATAAAATAATTAATAATTTTAAAATATCTTCTTAATCATACCACAATAATTAATTTAACCCCACCATATTAAATAATTGATAATTATTTTTTCTTATTTTTTTCATAAATTTACTTTTTGTCTCAAAAAATCTTATGAAATATAATTTTTTTCAATCAAATTAATAAATTGAATATTTTATGATTTTACGTTATTAAATATATTTTTTTCAAAAACTATATATACATTCTTTTTTTAATCAATATCATGTAGCTTAGAAACAAGTTTTACCTTGTTTAGTGATGAAAACAAATTAAATATTTTTTTTAAATTTATTAAGATTTAAAAAATAACTACAATTTTAAAATAAATTAAAATTTAAGTAACAATTGGACGAAAATAAAAAAATCATAACTACTTTGATTATAAATAAGTAAAAATAATTTCGCATAAATAATAATATGTTTACATAAGATTGATGAATTTTAAGATATTCTTCAAATCAGAAATAGATACTCAAGAATAGTATATGTGAATTTCATCTAATAATACTGTTGAAACAAAATACCTAAATATTTATTGTAATAGACATGCTTCAGAGTATATTAAAAAAAATACAATATAATAATTTAGTGAGATTCTTCATTTTTATATGAATAAATTTAAATAGTTAAAATTTTTATTTACTTACTACAAATTATAATATCTCTTAATTAAACAACTACTTCTTTTTAGGGTTTATTTGATAACAATAAAAGAAAATATTAAAAAATATGAAATAAAATGAAAAATATTTTTTTTAAGAAAAATTAATATGAAATAAAGAAAATTATTTATTTTAAAAATAATAAATAAATTATAAACAAATTTTTAAAATCATAAATTATATATAATTATTAATTGTTTTATCAGTTAAATATTTTTAATTAATACCTTTCAATTAATATTTTATTTTTAATAATACATATTTAATATAATTATTAAATATTTTTATTATAAATTATATATTTGTAAATACTTGATTTTAAATTAATAAAATAATAGCATATTATTAAAAAATATAAATATATTAAATTATTTATTTAACTTTTATAATCGTTTTCATATATATATATATATATATGACAATATCAAAATAATAATTGAAAATTATATCAAAATAATAATTAAAAGTTACATATATAACATAAGAATAAATAACATTTATTTATTTGAGTAAGAATACTTTAACATCTTTCTTAAATATTTTTCTTGGACAAGAGAAATATATTTTTCTTATTTTCCTTTTCCATCATTTTTAACTTTCCATTTTTCCTAAAAAAAACGAAATATTATACTTTAAAAAAATTTGATTACAATCTCAATAATGTTGGAGCTTTGTATATTTTTTTAGTTTAATATGTTTTTAAGTATTTAAAAATGTGAATTAATATTTTTTCTATAAAAATAAAAATAATTTAATGTAATTCTCAAATTTTATAAAACATAGTTTTAATTTTTTGAAAATAAAATTTTGAAGGATTAAAAATAATTTTAAAATACATTAATATCTTAAATTAATGTTTACTGACTATTTTTGTTTTCAATTTTGAGAGATTAAAATATATTTTTTTAAAATTTTAAGAAAGAAAATACTAAATTTCAAAAGTTAAAAATATAAATAAATTGTTTTCTATAATGATTTACGATAATAAGTTTTAAATGTATAAATTTAAATTTAAATTTTGAATTAGGTATTATCACAAGTACGATTTGAAGTACTTTTCAAGTGAAATTTATTTTTCAACCTAAAACTCAAAATAAGTAAAACTGATTTATGTTTAAAAATAGAAAACCAAAAATGAAAAAGTACCCTGATACGATGTATCAATGAATTTGTGGACGTTGACCAATAATAATTTGATTACGAAATGTATCTGATATACAATTCAGTTCAGATTCTTTTGTGAATTGGAAAAACTTTAATACTCTATTATTTAAGGTAAATTAACATGTGAATATTAAAAAAAATTAGATGAATTTTTAAATGTTTTCCATCAATTATTTTAAATATCTAAGTAAAGTGTGAAGAAGAAAAAACGCTTATAATATTATTATTATCATCATAAGTGAAGTTTGATTAATAAGCAAGTGTAGTGTCGGGGGTCTTCGGAGTCTGGTAGAAGTCATGGAAGAGTCGCCGTCGGAGCAGCGAAGCTACTGGCGGTGGAGCAAGCGAGACTTCTTCCCGGAGAAATCATTCGAGGACGGCGAATCCTACTGCAAGGCGTTGGCTGCTACCTGTCCGCGGCTGAAGGACCGCCTCCTGAACCGCTCGACCGACTCGCACGAGCTGCTCGTGCTTCCGCGCGCCAGCGAGCACCGCATGAACCGCTGCCTCACCTGGTGGGACCTCACCTGGCTGGCCTTTGGCTCCGTCGTGGGCTCCGGCATCTTTGTTGTCACTGGTCAGGAGGCCCGCTTCCACGCCGGCCCCGCCATCGTCCTCTCCTACGCCGCCTCTGGCTTCTCCGCCCTCCTCTCTGCCCTCTGTTACACCGAGTTCGCCGTCGATGTTCCCGTTGCTGGCGGCTCCTTCTCCTTCCTCCGAATCGAGCTCGGTGACTTCCTCGCCTTCGTCGCCGCCGGAAATATCTTGCTCGAGGCCCTCGTCGGTGCCGCCGGCCTCGGCCGCTCCTGGTCTTCCTACTTCGCCTCTATGGTGAAATCCGACCCGGATTTCTTCCGGATCCGGATCGACTCCTTCAAACCTGGATTCAACCTCCTCGATCCTTTAGCCGTGGCGGTTCTCCTCATCACCAACGGCATTGCTGTTAGCGGCACCCGCAAAACCTCCATCTTAACCTGGCTCAGTTCCCTCATCACAACATTGGTCATCGCGTTCATAATTATAGTCGGCTTCGTCCACGGAAAAGCCTCCAACTTGACGCCGTTTGCCCCTTACGGCGTTGAGGGCATTTTCAACGCCGCCGCCGTGGTATATTGGTCGTACAGCGGGTTCGACATGGTGGCTACAATGGCTGAAGAGACGAAAAAACCTTCCAGGGATATCCCTATTGGTTTGGTTGGATCAATGAGCATGATTACGGTTATTTACTGCTTGATGGCTTTGTCGCTGGTGACCATGGTTAAGTACTCGGAGATTGACGTTGACGCTGCTTACTCTGTGGCTTTTGTTCAGATTGGGATGACTTGGGCTAAGTACCTTGTGAGCGTTTGTGCGTTGAAGGGAATGACCACAAGCTTGCTTGTTGGGTCCATGGGGCAAGCTAGGTACACCACTCAGATTGCAAGGTCTCACATGATCCCACCTTTCTTCGCGCTGGTTCACCCCAAGACCGGAACCCCTGTCAACGCCACTCTCTTGACCACCATTTGTAGCTCTGTGATCGCTCTTTTCTCGAGCTTGGATGTTCTATCCAGTGTTTTCTCCATCAGCACGCTTTTCATTTTCATGCTTATGGCGGTTGCGCTGCTTGTGAGGAGGTACTACTCCAGGGAGAGCACTGGCAAGGTTGAGTTAGCGAGAGTTCTGGTGTGCTTGTTGGTTATTCTGGTTTCTTCTGCCGTTGGAGCTGGGCTTTGGCACACAGGGAAACTGGGTTGGATCGGTTACACAGTTGCTGCTGGTGTTTGGTTTTTTGGAACGTTGGCTATGAGTTTGCTTCCCAAGCAGAGAGCCCCCAAAGTGTGGGGGGTTCCCTTGGTTCCCTGGCTTCCCTCCTTGTCCGTTGCCACCAACCTCTTTCTCATGGGCTCCTTGGGCTCTGAGGCTTTCTGGAGGTTCTTCATTTGCACTGCTGTCATGTTCGTGTATTATTTTTTTGTGGCTGTTCATGCAACCTATGATGTTGAACATCAACGTAATGATAATAGTGAACAAGGAAAGAATGATGCGGGAATGGAAGATGATGGTAATGAAGGTGTGGTTTTGCCATAGCGACTTTGCAAGAACAATTCCTGAATTGCTGCAATGTTGGTGTTGCATAATTGCTGCAAATATTTGTATGTGAATTTTGTATTTATGCAGAAGTGTGTGATTCTTATTTATTTGAAGACTGTTATGATATTGGAAGAAGCTTTGAACCCGTGAACTATTCCACTCTGTTTGTTGGAAACCTCATTTGAACCTTGTGCAAGCATTATTATACTAGGGAGTCCCCTGACTTCTCCCCCTCTCTCTTGCTGCCACATGTCCTTATTGTTGTTCTGCATAATCTATTGCGACTATTTCTTCCATGAAACATAGACATCCTTAACTTACATGGAAGCAGAGGCAGATTTAAGGAGGGGGTTGTCAGTGGGGTCCACCACCTATGTAGGCACACCAAAACTTTTATATTTTTTATATATAATAATTAATTTTTAAAAATTAATAAAATTTATTTTTATATATAAATAAAATTTAAACTTTAAATTTTTTATTTATAATAAATATTATTTTAACACAATTTTTTATTATATTGTTTTCTCTTTTGTTTATTTTACTTTTATCTTTTTTTTTACTCTTTTTTTTTCATTTTAACATTTTTTATTACATATTTATTTTACTTTTTTCATATTTTATCTTTTTTTTCTTATTATTCCTTAATTTTTATATTCTTCTCTTTCACATTGTAAAACATAAAATTTATAATTTTTTTCTTTAATTTTCAATTTTTTTTTATAGTTCCATCTTTCATTCCATAAAATTTATAATTTTTTATTTTTTAGTTTGTTAATTTCTTTTTATTCACATTAAAAACAACTTGACATAAAAAATTAAAAAATAAAATAAATATCGAATAATAATATTTTAAATAAAAAAATAATAATTATAATTATTTTTTTATTATTATAATAAATTAGGATGTGTAATTTAATATAAAATATGAAATATTTAAATAATTTTTTATTTATTATAAATTAGTTAGTTATTTTAATGTCTTATTATATTTTATTTTGATAGTAAAATGTAAAAAAATAAATTTTAAAGATGTTTTAAAAAATTATAAATTTATATTTTAAGAGAAAAAAATAACTAATAAAATAAATTTTATTTTTCAAAAATTTAATTAAATTAATAATATTAAGTACATTATTAAATATTTTATATAATTTATTTAATTTTATACAATAATTAATTTTTTTTATCTATTGTCTAAAGTCTCCATCCATGCGATGATGAATCTAAACACAATCTATATTATAAAATTTATAAACCCGATAAATATATGTTTAAAGTGGTTAAAATGGTGATCAGTGTGATCTAATTTTATGGGTTAGATAAAAAAAATTTGATGATTTATATTTTAAAATTAAACAAATTTTTTTGTCTAGTTTTATTTTATATTAGGTAAATAAATCAATTTTAGTATGATTGAATTTTTTTAAAAGAAGATATTAATATATTTATAATAAATTAATTAATTAAAAAATATTTAAAAATAAAATATTAACATTATAAGATATCATCAATATATTTAAAATATTTAAAAAATTTATTAATATATTTATAATGAAATTAGTTTTAATTTAATATATATATATATATATATATATATATATATATATATATATTAAAGTCATTAACACGAGTTTAGAACCTAATTCAACCTTATATGAAGAATTTTAATTTTTTTTATTTTTATATTCATTTTGTAATCATACACAAATATTAAAATTAACAAGAAAATGAAAAATATTAATACAGTTATATACTATTATTTTTATTAAAAAATTATAAGAATCGAATTTTGAAAAAAATCAAAATATTAAAAAAATCTTATTTTATATTATTTAATTATTAAAATAGAGAAACCTCGTCACTCTTTATTATTGAAAAATCATTGTAGTTTTATGAATGTTAAAACATTCACGCATGGGAGAGAGTTGAGGCTGATTTGAATGATTAAAAATAATTACGTACAATCCAAAATAAAAATATTTGAAAAAAAATCTTATTTTATGAATATTAAAAAAAAAATTCTTCTTTTAACAAGTAAGATTGGTTAATTCTAAACTTTCAGATTTCTATTTTATATAATTATTAAAAATTCGCTTTAGTTTGATGAATTCTTAACTATTCACGTCAAACAATGATTTCTAACAATAATAAAAATAAAAATTGTTTGAATGATTAAAAAAAATTATATAAAAAGGTTGAACCCAAATTAAAAAATGAGAAACATAAAAATTTAAATAAACTAAAAAACTATCATACCTTGAAAACATACTTTGAATAAAATTTCAAAATTAAAAATAATAACACTAAAATTTATAACCAATAATACCATCTCACTTATTCGAACTCAGTTTTTTCACGATTTTGAATCCAAATACCCATCCCAAAAATACGTAAATTTTAGAGAGAATGACAATATTAGGTGTGAGAACATAATAACAATCTTAATAAGTTGTGTTATTTATGACAGAGAAGATAATAATTTAAGAAAGTGTGATTTTTTAAAAATTGAATTATCTTTTTAAATTAAAATATCTTTAATATATATATATATATATATATATATATATATTATTCAATTACTGCATTTAAAATATAAAACATATAATGAAAATAAAATTGAAAGTACTAAAAAAACTATTTTTATATCAAAAAATTATGATATTTTTATAAAATATACTTACTTTCATGAATATTGACTAAATTTTTATATATTAATTAATATATTTATTAGATAAATGGAGAAAAATATTATATTTATATATTAATTACCAAATAATTTATAAATATTTATTATTTAAATTATATATTATTATATTTACAAATTTAAACCATATAAAAGGTTAAAAAAGATATATTATTAATAAAAGATTAAAAGAATTTTTTTTTACAAATATATCAAAGTAATTAATAAGTTAGAACAATATAAAGATTGATAATTGAATTTACTGTCCCTTCACATCCTTTGAATTACACTCATCAATTCATTTGTGGTGAGAGTAAAAGGAAATCTAAATGGATCTAAACCATGAAAGAGATATTTTAATTATTTTTTATAATTAATTATTATAAGTATAATAACATGTACTTGTGCATGTGATAATATGTATTAATTTATGGCCTGTTTGTAAATTATTCATTATCTTCATAATTTGGCTATTGAATGACAAATGAATACATGTATTATATTAGTTTAAAATTTAATTATATAAGCTTGATGGTGATAGGTCTCCATAGAGAGCCAAAGCGAGAAAACCCTAAGAAACGAGTTGTAAAGGAGGCGTCAGTGTAAGAAAGTTTTCTGCATCGTAGGAGGTGAAAGAAAAAGATAATTGAAACTCAAAAAAATTATTGAATATTGTTGTGTTGATACAAGGAAGAGCCTATCTTATATAGGTTATGAGAACTAAAGAAAGAGGGAAAAAGTAGAATCCCTAAAAATAGGAACGGCTCTAAATAAACGATTAACCATTGTATAAAAACAAAAAACCCTTTTTAAGGGTTGGGTTCCAATATGTTCCCCTCAAGTTGGATGATGAATACTCAACATATCAAGCTTGGGAATGATGATCTTGAACGATGTTCGATGAAGGGTCTTGGTAAAAATGTTAGCTAGTTGATCATGTAAAGCGACAATTGAAAGTATGATTTTTTAATTTAATAATTTTTATTTATTTACAACCCTTTTATTTATCTAGAAGTCTCCCCTCTCTTTATATTTTTTAGAAGTTTATTAATTTTGTAAGAGAATTGTCATTGGCAGGATTCGAACCCAAGTACCTTAGAGTTGGAGGCTGATACTCCAACCACTAAACTACTAGAATTTTCTAATAATAACTTACAAATAAATTATATTTATATACAAATAAATATATATCCGTGTAAATATATAAATATATAAATACAAATATATTTATATATTTTGATATATTTATATAGTTATATATTTATATGTTGGATGTGAGGGCACACTCGAAAGTGAAAGTGTGTGTCGAGTGGGTTTTCAAAATTTGATGCTAAATTTGTGAGCAAGTATCTTTATATGAGTTTGTAATTTAATGACAGAATATAATCTTTATAATTTTATTTATATAATGATATAAAATAAATTTGGGAAACATGTCATTCACTCTCAAGCGAAAAATACCAATTTTCACTCAAGCGAGGCTTGAGTGAGTGAATTTTTGTGAGCTTTAATATATTTTCACTCAAGCAAGAGTCAATCTCACTTTCACCCTCGATCGAAAAATACCAATATAATTTATTTGTAAGTTATTATCAAATAATTGTAGTAGTTTAGTGGTTGAGATATTAACTTTCAACTTTAAAATAGTGGGTTCAAATGTTGTCAGTGACAATTCATTAACTTAAGTGAATTTTTGGCTGAAAAAAAAAAATACTTTCCAGAAAATATATACAAATAAATATATATTTACATAGATATATATTTATTTGTATATAAATATAATTTATTTGAAAGTTGTTATCGAGAAAATTATAATAGTTTAGTGGTTAGAGTAATAGTTTTCAATTCTATAATCCTGAGTTTGAATCCTGTCAGTGACAATTTTCAAATTTAAGTGACTTTTTGGGTGAAAAAAATAAAATAAAAAAGACTTTCCACGTCGGTTCATATGGGAACCGACGTGGAAAGTGTCAATAAGTGAAAAAAAAAAGACTTTCCACGTCGGTTCATATGAGAACCGACATGGAAAGTACTTTCTACGTTGGTTGACTAAAACCCGACGTAGAATGTGTTTAATATTCAACTTTCAACGTCGGTTCATCTGGAAACCGACGTGGAAAGTACTTTCTACATCGTCTCAGCTATAAACGACGTTAAATGACGACGTAGAAAGTATATTTTGTAGTAGTGATGCCTTGCAGATTGGTTGTCACAGTAAATGACAACTAGAGCAGTGGGATGAACCTTTAAGTCATGAACGAGATAATTGAGCCATTGGCGCAAGTAGTGCTAGCCAAAGTCCTGTATTCTG